ACTGAGTTGCCGCCATGTGATTGGCTGCTTAGAAATTAAGTGTTAACGAGCAGTTGGACAGGTGTACCTAATAAAGTGGCCGGTGAGTGTAGATTGCCACAAGCCATACAGGGTACACAGAAAACGTATGGAAAAAGGTTGTCTGTGTTACTACAGTTTGACTGAGATCAAAGCATATTTATGTGTTAAAATGGCCTAGTCAAAGGCTACAACTAATTTAGAGTAAGGTGTTTAAAGTTCGCTCTTTAATCTAAGTAAGCTGGAGCTATTTTGTAAAATTTCAGCCCATAAACCAGCAAAGCTGACAGAAACGGACACTAAATGACTGTTAATGCAATCATTAGTAGTTCTACATAAGATTACCTCAGAGGTGCAGAGAACACACACATGCAACCCTTGCATGATGCAAGATTTTTTTTTTTTTTTGTTTCTTCCTGTTTTAGATTTTAAACTACTTTTGTTGGTCCATGACAGAAAATCTCCAAAAAATACATTAAGGTTTGTGGTTTTAACAAAAATTTTTACAAAAATAAAAGTATTCTTGGTAAATGAAGCTCATAAAATTTCACTAAAACACACTGAAGTTCATAGTTTTAATGCGATTGAGCTCTTGGCTTTTAACGCATCTCTGTGACATGAAGTGGTTGGATGTTTAATAAACTATATGCATGTGAGGAAATGATGTTATTTAAAAACTATACAGCCGAGCAGAAAGAAACATGCTGACCTGGAATTGTCTGTCCGGCAGTGAGGCTTCCATACTTTGTGGATCTCAGCAGACCTCAGGATGTCCTCAACCACACTTGCAACTTCTATCTCAGCACAGAGAAGGGCGTCTCAGTGGGAGTGTGGTAGGCCATATCTGTTCCTTGAAGTGCATTCATACTTAAATATACAGCCTGCTGGTTTGATACAGGTGGCTCCTGGTTGAATGGAGACATCACTGGAGTGCACAGAAAGCACTTTGAGAACCAGCAGAGTATCTGGAAACACATTTGTATTCATTTGAGGCACTTTTTCTCTTCACTGCCTCTCTATCTGCGTGTCTCAAAAGGCACACGCTCCCTGCCAGCCAATGGGACGCAGCCGTTGGGAAACATCTCGACTGGTACCACGAGACACTGGGAGACGGGCGTCCTATTGTCATCTACCTCCATGGAAACGTAGGGAGCAGGTGGGATGAATGCAGCAGAGTACACATCCTTGAAATGTTCCTAATAGAGTCTAGTGGGTATAACAAGGTTGCTTTGGTTCTTTGTTCCTTTGGCCTGAATAGTTCAGGCAAAGGTTGCAGGTAGGAATGAATCAGTTAGAAAAATTCTCTCCTTTAATTCCCACAGGGCAATAAGTCACAGAGTGAAGCTGGTGAAGGTTTGTATCACTGCAAGAACTTGTTTCTTGATCTAACAATTTTGTTTTTGAGCTTGGATATAAAATCTAAATTCTTCTATAACCTTGCAGGTTCTGAGTGCTGCAGGGTACCATGTCTTATCTTTAGACTACAGAGGTGAGAGAACAACCCATTAAACAACCATTTCCCCTCAGCTATAATCGCAGATTCAGATCCATAGGCAGCTCTATGATATGACCTGATTTGCATGAACACACAAACAACTAAAAGGTGTTTGAAAGGGATTTCTTTCTGCAAACATTTAATGAGAAATCTCTTCAAGTACAAAGAAAAAAAAATACTACTTTCCTAGTTTTCCTCATGTTTTTGTATGGAAAAACAGAACTATATGCATGGCTTTTAAATTTTTCTGAAAAAATTGAGGTGGAGTTAATTTTGAAAGAAAAATCTATATATTCGGTTTAAATATTTTAATTAAGTAGGCTGTAATTTTTCCCCCCACTTCCAATGAATTGAGATAATAAACAAAAAAAAAAAAATATATATATATATATATATAT